TATTAAGAAAATAAATTTGACTTTACTGTGAAGTGCACTATTTTGCACTGTTTGGACGCTATTTGGCATTGTCTGACACTGTTTTGACACTGTTTTGGTGTAAATCATTTGTCATATAAAGAAATGTTTAGAAGTGGAACTTTAATATGAATTATCTCAAAAAGGAAAGCAGGAACTTAATACGGGACGGAGGGAGTATTAACTTGGGAGCTAAGTTTCGTTAAGTTTAGCCCTTTAATTTTACTCCGTATAAAATACTTCAGGAAATAATATGAAAATAGTTCTCAACAATTTTTTAATGAATTCAATTTTGATAATAATTTATTGTAATTTAAATAAATTTGAAATTTTGACTAGTACGGAGTAATTGTTATAGGTAATTATTCAAGACCCTGTTGATTTTTTTTAAGTTGAATGTGTATGTACCAAACAATAAATAAATTAATGTCCGTTTTTTAATTTAAAACTCTGCATAAAAATTATTGTCTCCGTCCCATTTTACCTGTCCTACTTTTCTTTTTGGGTTGTCCCAAAGTAAGTGTCTTTTTTTCTTTTTTTGGAAAGAAATATGTGGTCTACACCATTTCACTTTACTATACTCAAACATTAATAACAACTTTTACTTTTTCAACTACTTCATCAATAATTGTGTCACATCAAATTAAACACATAAAACTGAACGTAAGTACTCTCTCCGTCCCCTTTTAAATGGGACGGGAGATGGTGGCACGAGTTTTAAGAAAAGTGAGTTTGTGTGGTTGATATTAATTGATAAAGTAAGAATAAAGTAAGAATGATTTTGAGCCACACAAAGTTTACCAAATAAGGTATGAGACAATTAAATAGGGACATCCTAATATGATAAAACGGGACATTTAAAAGGGATGGAGGGAGTAGTAATTACTTTGGTCAATCCTGTTATTTGACTATTTCAGTCAATATGAATATTCAATCTCATCAAGTCATTTCGGTTGCCATTAGTCTCACCAAATCAACTGTAGAGTTTACGTAGCATAGAATTAGAAAGCTCTCTTGACTTGGCCGGGATGCTGAATTCAAAATATTCTAGCATGACTAAAGAAGTGGTTAGTTAAAAAAAGATACTCCGTGGATACTCGTACATGTTTATTAAGAACTCAATTAAAGGATTATGGGAAATTAAAGTTAATTAAAATGATTTAGTGTGACAAAATCCTGGATGAAAAACCCTGTTATATTTAAACCCTATTTAAAACGATTTAATGATTTAGTTAATTATAAAAAAGTCCCAGTGCGTCCAAAAAATGAACACATTGGATGGTATAACCGTATAATGGTATTATATTATACCATTATAAATGCGCAAATTATACGGTGCAACCAGCGTACCATACGCATGGTATGCCGGTTGCTAATACAGTACTGTTTTTTGCTTTTCTCATATTTCCAAAAGTTTAAAGTCCAAATTACGGAAGTCTTCTATCTCCCAGGTAAGTACTTCCTTTCTATTTATTGTTCTTTTCTATTTTCTTTAATTCTTTTCTCTCTAACATCAAATACTAAAAATTTATTTGTGATTTTACTTATCTTTATCTTTAACCCAATAAAATATAAATGAATTTACATTTTTTTCTTTACCAAATTATTACAAAATTTTATTAATCCACATAAAATAAGTGTATTGTAATACATTTTATATTTTATTAATCCACATAAAAAGCATATTTTATTGATCCACATAATAATTGAATCTATTTTTTATTCTCTATCAATGCATAACAAAAAGTTTATGAATCTAAATAAAATAAGTATATTCCATCATTCAGCTCCTAGACAATGAAATCACATCTTCTTCTGCGCAAGTTACATATTAATGTACGCAAGTTGCATCTAAATATAAGTGAGTTGCATCTTAATGTATGCGAGTTACACCACTGAATAAACTCCAGCTATATCATATTTATTGCCCTAATATTAAAAATAAAACATATTCACTATTTATAAAAAGTAATTAAGCTATTAGGATCCATTTTTCATTGTTTACATTGAAATCAATGTTTATAATATCTCAAACACACAAAAAAATCATTGTTCAACTTTACAAAAAGTTACATTCTGTATACACCCATGTTACATTTGGCATCAACGTGAGTTACATTTGTAATAACACGAGTTACATTAAAAAATCAACCCCTGCTATTGAAACAAAAAAATGATCTTTTCTAAAAAATTGTTTTTTATAGCCATGATATTAAAAACAAAACATATTCACGTTTTACCTAAAACAATTGTGTAATTAGATTCTTTTTTTCATTATTTACATTGAAATCAATATTTGACAAGTTACATTTTGGATGAGCTTGAGTTACATTGATCAATAACGCGAGATACATATCTTTACACTCGAGTTACACCATCTATGTTACTGGGACAAAAAAAAGTCACTGTACACGCGTGTACTGTTCACGCGTGTACTGTTCACATGATTTTTTTTAAATTGTCCAAAACTACATCGTTTTGGGAGTGCGAGTACAGTGCTCATGGTGGGACGGTTGTATAGTATACGAACTGTTATAAATGGGATTAAAAATAATTAATATGCTCCTTTTTAGCTTCTGGTAAATAAGCTAAATGATATGGATTATGGCGTCTCTAATGCTACTACAATATGATATGGAAAAAATGCTACTCCCTATTAAAACTTAATTAACACCTGATCGGCAAACATGGCAATTGAATTCGGTTTGGATAAAAGAGAGGAAGCTCATAAAAACAATAAATTGTGACGTATTTGGCCATAATAACACAAACAAAAACAAAAAAATTATGGTGAAGTAACGTGTTTGGCTAAAAAAGATTTTATAAAACTAGTTGTTTGATGAAAACCAGTAGATAATAAACAATAATATAACTCATTTTAGTAGGTTTTTCATCATGAAAAATTGTCCTAAATAGCAGTAAACTTGTTTTGGATTTGCAAAATAGTACTGTTATACTTTTCTTTCTGAAATAGGAGTCATTACTAACTATTAGGAGGGGTTTGGCAAACGGGATTTCAGCCGAAAAATGACGGTTTGACCACTTTTAGCGTTTTCAATAATTGAAATACTTGTTTGGTAAATATATGTTCGGTACTGGCGTTTTTGGACGAAAACACTGAAATGAAAAACGCTGCTAATAGGAGAGTTTTGGGTTGGCGCTTTGAAAAATGACATTTTCTACTAATTTTATGACCAAACAGCTAAATTACCAAACATCTTTTCACAACCCGCCAATTTATTCCGCTAGTCAAACCCGCTGACTGAATCCGCTATTGACAAACTGTTATCCGCTAACCGCTGAATGCCAAACACACCCTAGGTATTTAGGGATGCGTTCAGTTTTTTCGGTCCATTTTTGTGTTTTGTTTTAACCCAAATTCAAGTACGTAACCAAAGTAAAAAGTTCGGATCCATTTCGATTATGCATTTCAAAACATGAAATCACAGTTTTATTGGTTCAATTTGTTTCAATTTGGTTTTGATTATTTCAGTTTTTTACAAAAAAAAAGAATGTCATTTTGATTTGAATTAATACAATAGTTGGGGGAAAGCAAACATATTACATAAAAAATGCAAGCAACAAAAAAAAGCATTAAATATGTCGATCTTGAATAATATAATATGATTATGCCTAAAAGAAAACATGATTTTCTAGTTTTGTAGAAAAAGGTTCATATATTACTAGTATTATTTTACATTTTTGTGACTACAACAACAACATCCAAACCTTAATCCCAAAAGAATTCGGTGATTCTTTGTGCAAGACTAATTTGAAAAAAAGCCATGAATATATATGTTGTTAGAGGTATAGTTGAGATGAGTATTTATTTATTCGAGATGAGTATTTATTTATTCTGTCAATATAAAAACTTTAGGTTACACTAGAAATAAAAGTTCTAGTAATAAGCAACAAAAATTTGGTATGGACAAACTAGACTTGATGAGGAACATGCTCAAAAAAATTCATCAAAAAATTCCACCGGGAAGGTGCCCAAACGGGCTCGGCCGGACGGGGCAGCCCGTCAGGCCGGCCTGATGAGAAGAGCTCTCCACACTATTAGCCAATAGATCTAGTCAAAAAACTATAGCACGGTCGAAACAACAAAAAATTGGTTGATCGGCTACCAGCCAAACACCCCAAACTCTTTATCCTTTTATGACAAGGGATGCATGATTCATACTCCTTCAGTCTTATTGGAAATTGTCAACTATGGAGTAGTTTTTATGTTTCTTCAAAATATTTATTCCATCTATTCCTTACAATTTTGTCAAATTTGACTGCCACAGAATAATAAAGTAAAATTTATGTGGTCATGTGGTTGAAGTTCGTGTAAAGGAGAGAAAAATTGGCAAAATTTTTTAGACAAGAAAAAATGAAAAAATTGATGATAAAAAAAGGAAAAATGAAAAATATTTAAGGGACAAAATAAGTATCATTTTCTGTAATGAATATGTGATTCATCTTATTTCTCGGTCCTTTATACATTTTCAATTACCCAATTTTCACTTTTCTGATTATTTGTTTCACACCCAATTCAAAGTTGATGATAATTTTATTCCTTTTTCTTTATATATTTTTTGGCAACACAATATCCTCTTTCTTAATTGTCATATCAAGTTAAGTAAGAATTAATTTTGGGAGGTGGTATTATGACTTCATCATTAATCGTTAAAGCGAGCTTAAAGTCTTAAATGGTGACGGAGTGAGAGTACTCATTGAGTATTAAGAGAAAGAAGTGAGTGGTGGGTGGTGCAACAAGCTTGTTGCTTCATTTCCACAATGTAAAGTTTGATTAGAAAGGTTATGTCTAGACTGCACAAGCCTAAGTTAGCAGACCTTCACATATGGGGTCTTTCTTGTCAATACTGAGAGGGACAGCCTAAAAGCCTTCTAACCCTCCCAACTCTTACAAAACCAAACATCTCACAAACTCACACGTGCAATCCCAATATTACCCCACTTTTCGATTTCACTTAAACTTATAAATCTTGGTTTATTTTCCTTTCTGTATATAAATGTGGGGGCAGCACAGATGAAAAGGTAGAGTCTTGAAGCTATCTCACAATTCCCTCAAAGTTTCAAGAATTTTTTTATTTCTTTTCCATCTCTACTTTTTCATCCTGCATTCAAGTTTCCCCACCTGAGTTGATAACATTCACAGCCAGAACAGTGAAAGTACTGAATGAAACAATAAGCCATGTCAAAGAACTGGTGCATATATAATCAACCACAACCAAATTACTCTCCAACTCCCTCTACCTCCTCTTCTCCCCCATTTGGTGCTTCAATGGGAATGGTTTTTGCAGACATGGGTTCCCTCTCAATTGATCCCAAAAATGGTATCACAAATTTATTCCAAAACAGCCCTCTTTCCAAAACACCAAACGGTTCTTGGGATTTTCCAGCTTTCTTGAAAGGTGGGATCTTGGAAAACCATCATCATCTTCACGGCCACCAGAACAGTGATGGAGAGGAAGAGGGTAAGGTATCTGATTCCAGTGATGGTTTTGGAGAAAATAGTGAGCCCTTTGATCTCAATGCTTCTATAAGTGATCAAGATCAAGCTGCCATGCAAGCTGAAGAGAATAACAATACTAATAACAACAGCAATGGTAGTAACAAAGATGCAGAGAGCAGTGGGCAGTCAAAGCTTTGTGCAAGAGGCCATTGGAGGCCTGCTGAAGATGCAAAGCTTAAGGAGCTTGTAGCAATTTATGGCCCTCAAAACTGGAACCTTATAGCAGAGAAGTTGGAAGGAAGATCAGGTAAAAAAATCCCAAAGTTCAAATTCAATCCAAACTTAATAAAATTAAAATTCAAATTCTCCTGAATTTGAATAAAGATTTGATTTTTATTGATGGGTTTTATTGTTTCTTTATTTATTTTGATGAGTATAGGAAAGAGCTGTAGGCTGAGGTGGTTTAACCAGCTGGATCCCAGAATCAACAGAAGAGCATTCAGTGAAGAAGAAGAGGAGAGACTAATGGCTGCTCACAGACTGTATGGGAACAAGTGGGCCATGATAGCAAGGCTATTCCCAGGAAGAACAGATAATGCAGTAAAGAACCATTGGCATGTCATAATGGCCAGGAAGTATAGAGAGCAATCAAGTGCTTACAGGAGGAGAAAAATGGGGCATCTTGTTTACAGAAGAATGGAAGAAGAAGTTGATAATAATTTTCATACCAGCAATTCTTCATTTGGTGGGATGGTTTATGGGTCAAATGGCTGTGGAGAAGTAATCCCATCTAACAATGGCCACCCCATTCTACCCCCATTCTCTGGATCTGCTGCATCTCACCAAATGCCTTTTGATCCTTTCCCAGGTTTTAATTACTCTCCTATCCTTCACTTTTCTATTACCTTAACAAAAAAAGTTCTTAATCCCATATTGGGACACTCATGCGGGGATTTATATGACAATAATATAGTATTGGTGGTTTTAAAAATCGGATGAACCTGACTTAAATGGTAGGGTAGCTTTTTGTGCCAATTGTATTGAGTGGTATTCTTTGGTGGCCCTAACTAATTTGGTGTGGGGTTCCTCTCAGTATGTCTAACAGGAAAACCAGTAAACCAGATTAGTAGTCATTATAGAGTACTTTCTTCCTCACTTATAACATTGTTAAAGTTTGACACACAAAATTACTAAGTAAAAATTGTGAAGATATGAGACATTTAGCATTTCCCAAAAAGAGAAAATGGTAAAGTTAGTAAAAAAATTAAAAAAAAAAAAAGAAAGTTGATAAAATCATAAGGGACAGAGGGAGTATAATTTGAAATAATTACATAAATATGATCAAAATATAGATGGTTTACAAAAATATGATTAGTTACTAGAGTAGTAGTGAAATCATAGTAATTCATGTTCATGTTTTGAACTTAAGTTACCACAACATTACGTTGTAGTAATGAATAGTCATATTTATGTAAATAAGTTTTATTTTAGTAATATTCTTGTAAAAATCCCGTATAATTTAGTACTTCCATATCCCACATTTTTGTTAATTTTACTCAATTAATCATATAAATAACTTTACGATTTGCATTTAAAATTATAAAGACTTTGTTTAAATGTACAAATCTTACGTTTAAGTCAAACTTGGTCGAGTAATGTAAAAGTGCGGGACTAAAACATATAAAAACCCACATTTTTATGCCAAGTTATTATTTAAAAGAGAAAATTGGCCAGGTTTAAATATACAAAGTTATTAACTTTTTAAAGTTTTAAAATTCAAATACTAGTAATTAGAGTATTTAGTGTTTTCTCAAAAAGCAGGAGTTATTAATATTTATAAACTTAAAGTAGTAATTATTCATTTTCTAAATATTGAATGAGTTTTATTTAGAAAAAATATTGGCCTCAGCATACAATATTGGTAGCTCTTGGGAATATATTTTCTGAAAGTTTTTTATTTATTTGTGAAGGAAAATGCAACAAAGAGATTGGGGACATGGGAAGATGTTGGGGAAAGGCTCAAATTCATGGCCAACACTACCCTCCATCTCCACTGATGATCACAACAAACATGCACCACTCATCTCAATCCCCACAGTACATTAATTTTCCATGCTCCACCACCATCTCACCGGAATTCTTCATTGTAAGGTCACAACCACCGCCACCTCCACCACCGTCAGTGGCTGAGGAAGAGGACAGAAAAGGCAGCAGTATGGGTAACACTCAGACATTTGCCCCTACATTTATAGACTTCCTTGGAGTTGGAGCCACTTGAAAACAAAAGAAAAAGCTTAAAATGGTTCCTTCCACGCCCGGCCAGACCACCTGAAGGAAATGTATGTTCTTTCCAGGAATCAGAAAAAGAACCATTTTTTTTCACTTCTGGGGAGGAAACAGTGAAATCTCTGCAGTGGGGGGTGACACTCATGATAATAACAAAAGCTAACATCTTTCCCCAATCCCCATTATTGTGACTCTCTTTATGAGCCCTCAAATCAACAAAAAGGAAAAATAAGAAAAGAAAAATCATTACCCACTGTTGGAACAATAATCTTTTGTCTGTTTCTCTTTATAAATTCCCTCTAAAAAACTATAAATGAACAGTGTGATATTATAAGAGAACCAACAAGACCAGAAACTTGAGAGAATGGGCAAACTTCATGAAAATCTGGTTGAGAAAGTATGGTCACAGATGGGAGTGGGGTGGGGTGGGGTGGGGTGGGGTGGGGGTGGGGGTATGCATTCAATAATGAAACTGTATGTGTGTATAAACATGCTTGGGGGCAGTGAAGAATCTTGCTTCTGAAAAAATAATGTTGGAGGCCACCTAACCTACATGCGAATAATGCATGCAAACTGTCCTAACAGTTGTTTCCTTGCCGCCCATTTTAGGGGATATCGTTGCCTAATTATTCTCCTTACTTGCAGCAAAGGAGTCCATCATTTGGGAAATAAAGTTTGCTTTACAGTTTAATTAATGCTAATGGATTTGATAATGGAGTCCATCATCAGCTTTAATTAGCTCGCATTTAAATATTTAGTCCTACCTTCCGTTACTTGTTCATATGAGGCTATGATGCACACATGCTTCTCTATTTCTACTTTACTTACATTTAGGGGTGTTCGTCCGTTCGGTTTTGGCGGTTTCAATTTTATCAATTCACTTTTATCGGTCTTGTTTTTCAAAAAGGTGAAACCTTAAATTGAATCGCACTAGTTGAATTAGTTTCAGTTTGGTTGTGATTTGGTTAATTTCGAGCGGTTTTGACATTTTTTTGTTGGTTTTTGTCGGTCGGTTTTGGTTCAACGGTTTTTAACCCAAAAGATGAAACCGTAAATCGAACAATCAATGGTTAATTGGTTTTATTCGGTTTCGGTTTGAGTTGGTTTAGGATTTGGTCGGTTCGATTTTAGTCGGTTTTGGATTTTCGATTGTTTTGTTCACCCTTACTTTTATTTAATTTGCTTGTTTGATATGTATCCGCCGATAGAGTTTGAATCAAATAAAAAATGTCTTAATTTTACAATACATGAATATTTTAGAGAGAAGTTTGAGCTACAGTAAGGAAGTTTTTTGAATTGAATACATCTCAACCCTTTACAACTACCCCCAAGGCCCCAAGAGAGTATGTTTAGGGGAAACATGGGTTGGGCTCCCAGATTTTTGGCCCGGGAGGCCGGCCCGTTTACAATCATGGGCTGCTTTTGGGCTGTTTACACGCAATTCTTGACCCATGACTTCAATCTTCATCTTCTCGAATTCATCTGTGTGGTGGTCTCGTCTGGCCGATGGCCAAGTCGAGTGCTATTCCAGTAGCTTGTAGTCTTGTTTATGTGTCAATGATGAGTATGTGGGTCATGGGTGCATGCCCATATATTCTATTAGGAGTAAGCACCCTACTTTCTAAGTCGAGTTGTGTTGAGGTGAGAGGCCGGGAGTAGGGCTGGGCACGGGCCGGGTCGGGGCGCGTAATGCAAAATAAAATGGAACCGCCGGTTCCATTATACGGTTCGGTCCGGTCCGGGTATTACAATTTTCAAAAATAGGAACCGGAAATTACCCGGCCCGTTTGAAACGGGTCGGTCCGATCCGGGTTTTACGGTTTCTATTCTCATGTCTTGAAAATAGTAAAAACTCACGAAGTTCCAAAAATCAATAATTAATAATATAGGACATTAGCAAGTTTCAAAATAACAACATAGTGGTGCACATATAACACAAGCGAACAGTCCAATACTCCATAATTTCTTGTATATAAGTTTCAAACAATTAAAGAAATTCCAAAAATATGCAACATAGCCTAAATACATATTTTCTAACACTTGTATTTAAACATGTTGTCTAACATCACATATTAAAGTGATTGCTTTTTTTTATATTCAATTTTCAGTATTAGCCAAAGTTGACACATACATGGTGGGTGGTAAACACAATTTATATATTTTAATAACAATATAATAAAAAATATATAACAAAATCATCTTTAACAAATAATTAAATTCCTTAGAAAGGAATAATTCAATAACAATAAAAAGTAATAAGATATTTATGAAACATTTAATCAATAATTTGAAAACAAAAGGATGTTACTGCAACTCAATTTAAAATCCTACTTCTAGCAAAGGAAACAAAACTATTTCAAAACCGATTATCACAAAACTATTTCAAAACTAATTATCACAATATGTACTAATAATGATTTAGTAAATCGGATGCCCAATTTATTTGGCTACCATTAGTGGGGAGGTTACAAACGGTTGAACTATTATGGATTTAGTAAATGATGGGGCAGTTTATTTTGGAGAGTTTTTTCCTAAAATAATGTCAAATAAAAAAATATTTCCCAAAATAAGATTAGGTTAAAAGTATTTCCCAAAATACTGCTGTCAGTTGGAGTGGCGGCTTATATAGGAAACAAGAAAACGCAAGAGGAATGACGCGGGAGGAAGAGAAATGAGATGGCCCCCACCAATAAATGAAATTCCATTTTTATTTAAAATTGATATAATTTTTTTTATTTGTGCTCTGATTCTTATAAAAAAATATCAAAATTCATAACTTTTTATTACCTTTCATATGACACCAATATTCAATATATAAAAATAAAAAATAATTTAACACTTTTGAAATATTTTTGTAAATGTTATATCCAGTTTATTTGTGCTTCATTTGTTACAAAAAATATATATCTAAGTTTATAACGTTTTCTTATCTTTCATAAGACACTAATTTTGAAGTTGGAACAATTAAAAAAAATAATTTTATTAATTTATGGAGTTTATGATCGCTTTTTACCGTGCACTGACATTCATGTAATTTTCATGTATATGTTTGAGTTTTTAATTACTTAGAGTGATTGTTACTTTGGAAATTACACACTTTTGGTGTAATAGTTTAGTTTGTAAAATATTTGTAATTTGTTTAGATTAGGGTTATTCTGAGCTCAAACAGGTCCAAGAACACTTTGGGGACCATTGGTGAACATCACAAGTGGAAGGAAGGTGCAAAAATGCAAGGAAAAAAGTGAAGATCTCGTTTTTAATCTGTACCCGGTCAGGTATGACATATACCCGGTCGGGTACCTTTCTGAAAAATCGAATCAAATCAAATCCGGGAACAAGGCATCATGCGGGAAGATTTTAACACGTTCGGGTGTCATACCCGATCGGGTAACCGACAGACCCGGTCGGGTACGACCCCATTTTCCAGCTTCAAGGAAGCCACATATTATACCCGATCGAATGAGCTGAAAGCCCGATCGGGTACATGACCCTGCAAGCCTAAAAAGCATATAAATATACCCCATTTCCTCCACAATAAAACACCAATTCCTATATACTTCTAAGCTCAGTTTAGACAAGTTATTTCTTTATATTTTCTTTATGTTTAGTCTCCAAATGAGGAGCTAAACTCTTCCATCTTGGTTTTGCCACTTTGAAGCTTAATGAATTGTAAGTTGTGAGTAATTTTCTTTAATCTTCTTCCTTGAATATTAATTAATTCCTATTCATATTACATATTAATATTTTGAGCATTACTTAAAGAATCAACTAGTTTTGTCTCATATATTAATTAATACTAGAATCGGTCGATTAATACGCTTGTTATTAACTCGGTCCTTTCACGGTAGTAAACTTGGGTTGTTGATGCATGCGTCTCATGGTTGAAAACCTAAGGGGAATTAATTATATTGATTAAACCAATAAACCGCTTGTGTTGAGGTTATCAATCTCAATCGTTTTCATCTTGATTTTATTGCTACTATCGAGTGAATATACGGCGCGTGTTCTATATTAACTCGGTAGTAAGTTTTATTAATGAACGCATCTCGTTATTAATAACTACCCTCGATGAATTGGATATACTCCTCGATTGAGTATTCGAAAGGAAGATAGTTAAATATATAACCGGGATCGACGAACATTTCATTAAGTGGATAAAAGCAAAGCCAAGTCTTCTTCTCATTAATTAAACCACATAACTCGTTCATCTTCGTGCTTAAATATAATTTAAGTTCATCAACCAAACATAACCCCCCCCCCCTTCGTTACTTAATTATTTCTTTAAAAAGAAAAGTGTTCTTTTCCCTGTGGATACGAACCTTACTTCATTATACTACGTAAAATTGTTGTATTGAATATTATTTTGAGTGCACACCACGACAAAGTGCACGTCAAATTTGGCGCCGTTGCCGGGGAAAGGCTACACTTTTTAACTGTGTGTTTGTGTGATTTTGTTTTTAATTTTCTTTTATGTTTTTTCATTTACCTTGAATAAATTGAAAAGAGCGGGTACACACTTTGATCCTCTACTCCACCCCAAATCCATATTCCCAACTTAACTCCATTTGTCAGTGAGATGAATAAAAAATGAGGAGCTAGGATGAAAACCCGAAAAGGACTCCTAGGCAAAATGAGAGAAAGCGAGATAAATTTTCATTTTTGTAGGAGAAAATTTTGTGTGTAAGTTCAAACAACAAGATACCGGATCGGGTACAGGCCATACTCGTTCGGGTGTTTTCAAAGAGCTTCTCGAAATATTCAAAGGAGGCTAGCACAAAAAGCTTAGCATGGGGGAGCATGAACAGATAAAACCTTGGGAGAAAAAACCGATTTTAAATGTAAGAAGGAACGTGACACTCCTAAGCATTAAACTTAATCGAATTGAACTTTACTCGAGGACAAGTAAAAGATTAAGCATGGGGGTATTTGATGCGTACTCTTCAGTAGTACATAAACACCACATTTTAGAATGGTTTTACATTATGTTTACTTAGCTTTTGTACAATTACGGTGTAATCTTTATCTTCTAAAATTAAAGAATAATTAGAAGATATTAAGATATTTTGACATGTATGCAAAAATATGATGAAAAGAAGAGGAAGGAGCTTGGGAGCATAAGGAAGGAGCATTGGAGACAAGAGGAAGCTTCATAGGAGGACAAAGATGTGTGAAAAATCGGATATGATTTGACCCGGAGATCATAAGAGATCAAATAAAGCAAGTGAACATGGGAAAATCAGATTATGTCTTAGACCCAACCACCTCACTTCTCCTATAAAAACACCTCTTTCCTTCCTATTTTAGATACCAATTTAATTCCCTCTTTCATATACAATTTATTCTTGTAATTTAGGTAGTCTTTCCATCTTGGTTTTGCTACTTTGAAGTTTAATGAATTGTAAGTTGTGAGTTATTTTCTTTAATCTTCTTCCTTGAATATTAATTTTCCCCTTAGTACTGTCTCTATATTAATGTTGGGGAGTGTTACTAAGATGACAATTAGTTAACATCTCGACATTAGTTAGAGTAGTATTTATTTTCTTCCTCTATATTAATGTTGGGGAGTGTTACTAAAATGACAATTAGTTAACATATTGACATTAGTTATAGTAGGATTTATATCTTCTTTAATATTCTTCCTTGAATATTAATTAATTCTTATTCATATTTCATTTTAATATTTTGATCATTACTTAAAGGATCAACTAGTTTTGTCTCATATATTAATTATTACTAGAATCGATCGACGAATACGCTTGTTAATCGTTCAATCTTTTCACGGTAGTAAACTTGGATTATTAATGCATGCGTCTCATGGTTAATAATCTAAGGGGGATTAATTATATTGTTTAAACCAATAAACCGCTTGTGTTGAGGTTATCAATTTCA